GGCCTGGCTCTGGCGCAGGGCGATGGGCTTGTAGGGCCGGCGGGCAGCACGCTTGGTTTCCGAGGATGAGAGCAGCTTGCGGATCTTCCTGTGGGCAGAGGTGGCGGTGAGGGCCGGGACGCTGTGCAGAGCCCTCCCGCCTGCCCTGGGAAGGCCCCACCTGGTCTCCTCGGTGGCCATGTAGAACACGTCATCCGGGGCATCGATCCAGTTCATCCGCCGCCGCTTGACCGGGGGCAGGGAGCCCCCCCGGATCAGGCGCACTTTGGTGGGGTAGGACTTCCCGTTGAGCAGGAGGTTCCGGCTTGGTCCCTGCAGAGGGGGTGCGATTCCTGGGCAGCCGGCCAAGGGCCAGCTCCACCTCAACTGCAGGGCTCCCGCTGGGAGGGGCCACGAGCCAAGGTACCGCGCCTGGCCGATCCCCCACCACCCCAGGGAGCTCCACGGACCCCCGGCCTGGCCCAGGGCAGCCCTGAGGGCTGGTCGGCCCCACACCGCTGGGCCTGGCTCAGGGGCCATGGCCCCCACATGCTGCAGCCCCTTGGTCTTGCCAGGCCTCTTGGAAGCTTCCACATGGCACCCGGCAGGGCTGGCCGGGCCTCTTCGCAACACCCCAGAGAGCCATGCGGTGCACACGGGTGAGCACACGGTACCCCAGAGAGCCATGAGGTGCACACGGGTGAGCACACGGTACCCCATCATGGGCTGTTCCTCTTACCATGTGCCTGGTCTGTCCGTGGTTTGCCAGACCTAACGAGAAATGGAGAAGAGAAATGAGGCCCCGAGACAGCACGTCCTGCACTCCCACCACCCACTGCGGCCTCGGCCACCTTGGACAATGGGCCGGGGCCACCTGCCAACCAAGCCACAGCCCACACCCAGGATGGGCCTGGGGGCTTCGCCTCCCTGGGTCCTGGGCCGCCTGGTGGCCCCACAGCTCTCTGGCCAGAGACACGTTGGCTTGGCTCCACGCAGGAGGCCAGGAGCCTTGGGCCTGACAGTTGCTTCCCTGCATAGGGGCCGGGCTGCCCACCTGTACCGAGACAAGCAAAGCCTCACAAGGCTGTCCGTCCAGCAGCAGCACAAGCCCCTCTGCAGGGCACTCACACCATGGCTGGCACTGCCCCACCAGGAGGCTGGGCTTCTTCCCAAGGCTCCAAGAGAGCCGCCAGCCCTGGCCAGAAACAGGTCACCACCCACTGCACCGGCTGGGCCCGAGCCACCCTGGCATGTGCGCGGGGATGGGGTGCCAGAGACCTCTGACTTCCCACAGTGCAGGGTGAGGAGCCCAAGGGGCACTGCGGGAGTTGGGCCAAGAGGCGGGGTCCATGCTCCTGGTCACCCCCAGCTGGGCCCAGGACCGCCGCTGCTCTCCCCCACTGCCCTGCCTGTGAGTGTGAGTGTGGGCGTGTGCATGTGGGAGCTGGTCCCAGGATGGCTCGGCTCCCAGCAGGACCAGCCCAGAGAGGACAGGACATCATACTCAACTCAGGTGCCAGGGCCCAGGGGCATCGGAGCAACCTGCCAGCTCCAAAAACGCTGCTTAACTGAGGCCCATCCCTTAAGGAACAGAAGCGGCCTGTCCAGCCCCTCCCCACCTGTAGCCGCCTCCTAACTCGGGGCACTCCCCTGATCCGCCTCCTAACTCGGGGCCCTGGAGCCCTGGGTCAGCCTTTCCCTACCAGTTTGCTTAGCTCTGCTGGGCAGGGTCGGGTGGGGGCCCAGGTGCCTGATCCACAGCGCTCCTGAACAGGAGCCACCATACCTCAGGGCACCTGCCAAAGACCAAGGCCCAGTGCCCAGGGCTGGCCAGTAGCACAAAACTACTTACCCAGGTAAGTGCCTACCAGAGCGGTGGATGGCAGAGGGAAGAAAACAGGCGCTTTAGGTTAGTGAGCCACACGCACCCATCTGCAGGCCCCGCAGGTGGGGACAGAGCAGCAGGCTGCACGGGCAAATGGCCGGGTTAGAGCACTAGGGCCCCGTGTTGTGGGCAGGCTCAGCTCACGCCTACCCGGGCTGGACAGAGACCCCATCTCATGTGTGCCAATGCCCCCGGGCGGCACCTTCACCCAGCCAGCCCCCTCCAGCGCCCAGGTCCTGGCCACTACACGTCAGGACAGGCGCTTCTTCTGTGGCTGACCCCTCTGAGCCCAGGGCCCGCCCAGCCAGGCGGCGAGTGGTGGTACTCTCTCACAACCACCGCACAGCTGGGACTGAAGTGTGCAGTGTGGAAAATTCAGTGGGAATAAATAAGCTTTTATCTAACTTGCTGGTTAACCGTTTTTCACAAAACAAAACAAAAAGTTCGAAGATGCCTGCTGACAAGGACTCCCTCCTGTTTCTACCAGTTCTCATGGGGCTGTTCCCCGCCATTGGGAACAGACCAGTAAAGCCAGCCCACAGTGGGCTGGCCCTGGGCCCAGGACTAGGCAACGGGGGCAGCCCCAATACCAGATGGCTGGGAGGGCGCCCCAGGAAAGGAGGGGGGCTGGGGTGAGACAGAGACACCGCCAAGGGCGGTCGGGCAGAGGCTGCACAGACAGGCCAGGGGTGCGTGTCCAGACAGGTGGAGATGGCGGAGCCTGGCACCCGATCTCAGGCCCACCCTGCGCTGCAGCCGGCGTGCTGACCCCGCGGGACGTGCTTGCCAGGGCACCTGGCAGCCTTGAGAGAATGCCCTGAGGGGACAAGGCTGGCTGGGCTGGACGGCCACTGCCCATATCCACCTCCAGGTCCCCACGCTGGCCCTGCTGCCCTGGCCAGCACCCTCCGGGAAAGCCGCCTGGGGAAGGGGCCCCAGGCACATCCACACTGGCAGGCCCAGCACGTGCACCCCCGGAGGCCCAGGCCTGGGCGCACACCCGGGCCCCACACACCTGGCCCCCCATGCTGGGCTTGGTCCTATCTGCTCTTCCCCGAGGGGCCTGGGGTCCCACAGCCCCTGCTCCAACCAACCAGCACAGAGCACCTGAGCCAGTTCTCCAACAGAAGTCACCAGTGTGTGCAAGCTCAGTAGCCCACAACCCGCACAGACACCCCCAACCATTCCCTCCCCACTGTCCCGCCTGGCAGGCGCACGAAAGGATTGCAGGCACAGCACGGGCGGCCCCAGGAGCTGAGGCTGGCAGCATGCGGGCAGTCACAGCGCGATGGCAGACAGCGCAGGCAGGGGCGCCAGGGCCACACGTGCCAGGACAGTCCACTGACAGGGTGTGGGGCCAGGGGGCCGAGGGCCAGATGCCTGGGCTCAGGGGGTCTTCACCAAGGGACCAGTGATGTCAGGAGGAACGTGGGGGACTGGGCTGTGGCCGGGCTCACGTGGACTGCCCCAAGCATGGGCCCTGGGCCGCCCGCCGCGGGGACACACTCAGCAGCACAGCACAGGCATCACGGGTGGGGCTGGCGCAGCGCCCGCCCGCGGCCCCAGGCCTTACCCCTACTGGGCATCAAGAGGCGCTTCTTCATGTTGCCTGGCAGCGCCGGGGTGGGAGAGAGGGAGAGAAGACAGCGTCAGCACGCACCGCGGGTGCCCCGGGCGGGGGCGGGCCGGACTCACCGGGCGGGGAGGGCCACACTCACCGGGTGGGGCAGGCCCGGATTCACCGGGCGAGGGGGCCACTCACCGTCCACCCCGTTGTGCTGCTCATAGCTGCGCTTGCCCAGGATGGTGGGGGAGCCGTTGTTGATGACAGGGGCCGCCTTGGCGGGCGTCAGGCTGCTGAGCACGCTGGACACACTCTTCACGGGGTCAGGCTTCGGGGGACGGGGGTGGGTCTCTGCCAGGAATGACAGGCAGAGCTAGTCGCCTCTGCCTGGCAGGGGATAGGCAGGCAGGCCCAGGCTCCAGCCCTCATGGTTCTGGGATACGACCAGGAACCAAGCTCCACGCGGCCCCCACCCCTGAGGCCCCATCCTGACTGGGCTGGAAGCAGGGAGGTCACCACAGAGCCAGGAGCACCAAGTGCTCTCCCGCAAGACGTGTGCCCAGGCCAATCCTGCACCTAGAGAGCAGGGAGACCACCTGGCAGGGGCCAGGCCCCTCACCCCCGCACAACAGGATCCATACACAGGCCCGTGAGCACAACACCTATTCAACAGCCCCCATGTCCAGGCCTCCGGAGCTGCTGGTGGAGGGCTGGCTGCTGGTCAGACAGCGAACCGACCATCCAGCCAGCCTGGCCAGGGACACAGCTGCTGAGGACCAGCCCTGATACCAGCCACCTCTTCCCACAGGACAGGGGCCACGACCCCAAACAGGGAGCAATGCCAAAGCCACTTGAATCTCAGAGCACACGTGGTTCATGGCTCTGGAATGTCCTTCTCAGGACAGTCACCCTGTGTCAGGAGAGCAGATACACAAGCCCACTCGAGCCCAGCAAATGGGGGAGGCCCCCCACCGCCACCACAAATGTCTGGCCCAGCCCCCAAGCTGCTTCTGGCTGGGCCAGGGTAGCTGGCTGAGGTTCTCAGGTATCCTCAGACCCTCAAAGATAAGGGAACCCCTGTCTGAGGCTGCTTGCCAGGTGTGCACCTACCCCTGCCGAGGGCCTACAGAGGCCTGAGTGCTGCCCCTGTGGAGCGGGCATGGCTCAGGAAGTGTGCTCCCTGTAGGCAGCAGGTGCAACCCTGCCTTAGTGGCATTACAGGCAGGGGTGTGCACTGCCCACACCCCACACCCTCAGGCCCCAGGGACGATCAGAACACAGGGAACGGTAGTGAGGCTGGCAGGGAAGCCCCCTGGGCGTGCCTTGAGGAGGCTGGCCCCGCAGAAGGCAGGGCGGCAGCCACTCCGCACTGGGCCCCGTCAAGACCCCAGGAGCAGAAAGCAGCCGGGGTCCCAGTGGGTCGGCCTGAGCCTGGCACGGTGCAGAGTACCTCAAAAGGACAGTTCCAGGCCCTGTGGGGCTGTCCAGGAGCTCCTAGCTAGAGAAGGCTGGGAGCACCAGTGCATCAGCTTGGGTCAGAAGCTGCCTGCAGGCAGCATTAGGAGCCCCCAGCGCGCCTGGACTGCTCACCAAGATACCGGAGCACGGCTTCCAGCGGCTTGCGCACCGCCTGCTTCAGCACCAGTGGGCTCTGGGAGGCTTCGGGCAGCCGCGCCGTGCCTGCGGGGTACCACACAGTGTGAGGGGTGGGGCATCCCCAGGGAGCACGGGACCCTGCCTGCGCCTTGACCTGGGAGCCCTCACTGGGCTTGGCCATGTCAGCACCGAGGAGGAAATGGGGCTCCCTGAGATGAGAACTCCCAGTGGGGCTACAGGCTGGGCCCCAAGGTTGCTGTTCCCTCCCCACTGCCTGCAGGAACAGAGTGAGCGGGCGTTGGGATGACTCACACTCGGCCTTGATGGCAGCGCTGTTGATGGGCAGGTAGGGGTGCCGCGCGGCATGCCATGGGCGCAGGATCTCACGGCACAGGCGCCGGGCGATCCGTGTCAGCTTCGTCGTGTGCAGATAGAAGGCCTGCCTGGTCTTCATGGCGAACTTGGGGCTCCCGCTGCTCCGGGCTGGGAGGCCGTGGGGACTCTGCGGAAGGGGGCATAACCGCCCCGACACAGTGCCATGACCGGGGGCCGAGGACCCGCAGGGCTGACACACTCGCGGCAGGCAGGGCGGATGTCCCCCCCTTACCATGTTACTGCGGTTTGGTCCTGGCCTCTCTCCATCTAACCGGGTTGGCATTTTCAAGCCACCATATTTCTTCCAATATGTCCAACAAGATGCGCAGAGACGACACTGCATGTTAGGGGGACCCCAAGAATACCACTGGTAAGACTGTGTGGCTACGGACAACAAAGTTGGAAATAGACGGATTCTTAAGCAGAACCAGCGATGTCAGAGTATTCCCCACCACCCCCACGCCAGCCGCCTCCACCCGCCAGGCACCCCCGCACATTCCCCAAGGCTCTCCCAACCACATCCCTGGGACGCAGCCCCCCATCATCAGTGGGCCCCTCCCAGGCTGGGCCACGCTGGAGCCCTCAGGGCCAACACAGGCACCACGGCCCACAGGCGGGTGTGCGGTGTGCCCCCGGCCATCCAGGGCACTTACTGTAACAGCTCTCGCAGGCCCGGCCAGCGCCAGGGCTCTGGCCCGGTGCTCCCGTGCCGTTCACCACACCGGCCTTGACGTTGTTGACGCTGATTTGGTTCGGATTTGGCTTGTTACTTAAAGAGATAAAGGAGAGGAGAGAGGAGTTGCAGGAGCACAAACCTCAAGGGCCCATCTGCCCAGCACGCACCGCGGCTGATCACCCCTCGTCCAGAACCATGTCCTCGCACCCTCCTCGGCCTCAGCAGTTCCTGGGAGCCACTGCTGAGGTCTGAGCTGTTTTCCAGGCCCCCGTGCTCCCCCTAGCATGGAGCCCAGCTCAGGGACTGAACCCTGGCGGTGTGGGTTGGAATCCCAATGCCCCCTTACTGACCAGGAGGCCAGGACGACGGAGACACGGCCATCGCGTCTGCAGCCAGAACCCCCCAGCCCTGCGCTGCCCTCACAGGGGCTGCCCTAACTTTCCCAGCCTCTGAGTCTGAGTTTCCTGGGGACCCGCCTGGCCCCGGCACCCTGTGCCCACCCTCCCTGGCCCCCAGGGCCACGAGGACAACGGCTGTAAGGGCACACTTACTAGTTGGGAATATAAACTTGCTTTAACTTGCTCTCAGCTTCAGCTGCTTTCAAGCGTTTCTTAAAACAAAAGAGAAGGTCAGAGGTCAGCGGGCTAGGCCCAGGTTGGGGCTGTGGTGCAGACAGGCTGGAGGCCACGGAGGGGAGAGCGCCAATGGGGAGGAGAGCCCCAGTGGAGAGGAGAGCCGGGCCAGGGACTCAGCAGCACGCCCACCTGCTGGGAGAGGATGGGGCGCAGGACACGGAGGTGGCATGCCCTGGGCACTGAGTGGCAGGTGGGCTTACCTGCTGCACGTATCTGTCGGTGGTCTTCCACATGTAGTAGTACTCAATGATGCTGGTCAGAGACTTCCACGGGAGCTGGGTGGGAGGAGGCGTGTCACACAAGCAGGAAGGGGCAGGAGGTAGGCACATCATGAGGGCAGGGGCAGGGCTGCGGCCAGAAAGCCACAGAGGGGGCAGGAGGTGGGAGGGCAAGGTGTGCTTGGTGCGCTGAGGCCAGGCCCCTGCTGGCAGGCAGGTGCAGAGGGAAGCTGATGAAGTGGGTACCCCCTGCCAGATGCCAAAACACAGTGACGCCAGGGGAAAAGGAGCTGACACAGGGTCAAGGTCGAGATCTTGCCGAGGTGGCACTGACAACCCAGCCTCCATCTCAGCCTTTTTTTTTTTTTTTGAGATGGAGTCTCTCTCTGTCACCCAGGCTGGAGTGCAGTAGTGTGATCTTGGCTCACTGCAACCTCCGCCTCCTGGGTTCAAGCGATTCTCTTGCCTCAGCCTCCTGAGTAGCTGGGACTACAGATACGTGCCACCGTGCCTGGCTGATTTTTGTATTTTTAGTAGAGATGGGGCTTCACCATGTTGGCCAGGCCGGTCTCGAACTCCTGACCTCAAGTGATCCACCCACCTCGGCCTCCCAAAGTGCTGGGATTACAGGCATGAGTCACCATGACCGGCCATCTCAGCCATTTTTGTTTTTGAGACGGAGTCTCACGCTGTCACCCAGGCTGGAGTGCAGTGGCGCAATCTCGGCTCATAGCAACCTCCACCTCCCCAGGTTCAAGCGATTCTCCTGCCTCTGTCTCCCAAGTAGCTCGGACTACAGGCGCTCGCCACCACACCCAGCCAATTTTTGCATTTTTAGTAGACACAGGGTTTTACAGGTTTTACTGTGTCACATGTTGGCCAGGATGGTCTTGATCTCTTGACCTCATGATCCTCCTGCCTCGACCTCCCAAAGTGGTGGGATTACAGGCGTGAGCCACTGTGCCCGGCCTGTGGCATGGATTTAAGAAACCTGTCTTATTAAATAAGGGTTCAGATAGTTCCTCAGTCTGGTCCACTGCATCTGGCAGGAAGGAAGAGCAGGGCCTGCTCCCTCGACACAGCCCTGAAGCTGCAGCCTCCTGACCCCACGCCTGGACTCGGCCCCGCAGCCACAGCCCCCTGAGCGCTGCCTCGCTAGGCTCACGTGGGCTCAGCACTGGGGTCTCCTCTGCTGGAACCATGTGCAGCAGGGTCTCCCTCAAATTCTGCCCTCGTCTGAGCCAGTTGGTGAATTTTGTTTCTAGCCCTCATCCTCTTGTCTGAACATGTTCTGCTCATCTTGGTTAGATTTTAAGCCTGGAGAAATCCGTATCCGCCTTGGAGAGGCCACTGCCCCAGTCAAGGACTCCTCCCGAGCCTGGCCAAGCTCTCCCCTTGGCCAGAGGCCCCCACACAAAGCTGCATTCCTGCCTCACGGCTGGCTGCTGTCCCTCCTCTTCATGTCTAGGCACCCTACCCAACCCCATGTTTGTTTCTTCCGAATTCCAGATGCCTCTCCGGTCTCTGCTACGCTGGCCTGTGCGCTGCTGCGTGGATGGTGCTTTTCATCAGACAGCAGCAACCCCGCTGTGTCCTGGCCCTTTGGGGCTCCTCCCTGCCCTGCCACAGGCTCCACCTCCCCAGGGCTGATGGTCAGGGGTCCCACCACCTCCACGTGGGGATGCCCTTCTAACAGATCAGTTTAAACATATTTTAGGAAGGCTGACGGTGGGAGGATGGGGGTCCTGAGGTAGAGGTACAGGGAAGGGGAGACCCCATACCATGAAGACCCTCTCGGCCTGTTGCTGGGCCAAACTCACGAGACAGAAAACAAGGACATGAGGAAACAGAGGTTCAGCTTAGTCAAAAACAAAGCAAAACCAAGGCTGGGGCTGGAGGGGGCGGCAAGGAAGGGAAAGTCTCTGTGAGGACACCCTGGCCTCCGTCACCTGGCCCAACCCTTATCCTTATCACGCAGTGGTGGTAGCAGCGTGGCTCTCTATGCCCAGGCCCCACCAGCGCCCCCACGCCTGTCTGCTGAACCAGTGTAACAGGACTGTGGTGGCCGAGCACAGCTGAGACAGAACTCATGCAGCTCCACACAGGGAATCAGGGTGCAGGACAGGCTCCCTCAGGGCAGGGGGGGACGTGGACCCCACGCCCCCATAGCCCACCTGGAGATGGGCATGGTCAGCCACTCCCACATCGCCACCCACGGTACTCACAAAATCTTGCTGAATGTCCGTGAAATCCTTCCCATATTTTTCCAGGGCTTCCTCGAAAAGGTTGGCCTCTGACGCAGACCACTCCTCCATCTCGTCCCTGCAGAGCACGGGCCCGCCCTGTGGCACCAGCGCTGAGATGGCCTTGGAGATGTCATAGATGTTCTTGTGGAGAGTGTCCATGGCATGGAACTGAGGCAGGAAAAAGCAGGGTCACCTGGGCCAAGGTGGCTTTCCTGCACCTGTGGCACGGCAACCCTCCCTCAGGGCCTTAAGGATCCCCTGCTGCAGGACCAGGCAGCGCAGCCCTCCCTGCACCCTCAGGACAGTCTGGCTGAGCCTGGGATGGATAGGAAAGGCCAGTCCAGGTGGGACAGCACCTCTGCGGGGGTCCTGAATACCTGGAGCAGGTGCTGGGTCCAGGTAGGAGGAAGGGCACAGCCACTCTGGGCCGTGGGTCACTCCAGGTCTCAGCTGTCCCACCCTAGGCCCACTTACCAGGGTGATGTCTCGGGAGGCAGCTGCGGCACTCATGTGCAGGCTGGGCTGTCGGACGGAGCTGCTGCAGTCCAGGGCCCGTGCGAAGGTGCCCACGGAGCTGGGGAAAGGAGATGCGCTGACCAGTGTCAGCCGAGCAGGGGCTCCACCCAGGCACACTGCTCCCCAGGCACCATGGACCAGGGGCCACGGCTGAGCAGGGGCTCCACCCAGGCACACTGCTCCCCAGGCACCAGGGACCTGGGCCACGGCTGAACAGGGGCTCCACCCAGGCACACCGCTCCACAGGCGCCAGGGACCAGGGCACCATGGGCAGCAGGGACAAACTGCGCGGGCATCGCAGGGAGCAGCCCACAGGTGGCAAGGATTCCTTGTGTCTTGGGCCCCAGGATGGGGAGTGGGGCCCAGCACCCACCCAAGAACCCACGTGTCTGACTGAAGGCATCCTGATAGACTGGCAATCGCCTTGGGGCTTCTTTTGGGGTTTTCTCCACCTCCTAGGCTGCTGGCAGGGAAGGTGCATGGTCCTCTCCTGGGCCTCGAACTTCCCCCCGCCCCAGGGGTCTGCCTGGGCTGCAGCTGCTCTGCTCCCTGACCAGGCCCAGCCCACTTGCTCCCAGCGGCCCAGGAGTGGGAGAGCGCCTCTGGCCCATCCTGGGAAAGTCCCATTAGGGATACATGGGTGGGCACACAGGCCCGCCCCCGAAAAGGGCCGCCCTTCTATTTAACGAAGAGCCTGGGCCCAGCGCTCGCGAGCCTCTCTGGGAACTGCTAGCAGGGTGTCAGGGCCGCAACGCATGGGCTTCATGTTGGGATATGGGATCCAAGACTGTCACGTCCCCAACACCCACCACAGGGCAGGGAGAACAGGAGCTCCAGGCACCACCCCTGCTGGTCTTGCCCGGGAGCAGGACTCACCGGGCCACTACCAGGAACTGGTCGATCTGCTTGTCTGTGAGTGGGTTGTGCGCCTCCCACACCTTGGTCTCCAGCTTGGACTGGTCTCGGCCGTCCTCCTCACCTACAGAGAGAAGTGTGGCCTTTCTGAGACAGGGTCCCCCAGCGCGCCGGGTCGCGCCTCTCCTCCCCAGGCGCACGGAGCTGCTGGGATGGGGAAGGGGAAGGGTTGCAGGGCCCCATAGGTGAGGCCAGGGTGCAAGGCTGGACGGAGGCTGTTGCACACACAAGTACACGCATGCACACTTGGCACACAGTGGCCTCTCAACCCGGGGATGGGGTGCACACGCAAGGGGCCTCTCAGCCCGCCCAGAACGCAGGGCTTCAAGAACTGTGGCCACAAGAAATGGGAAGGTTGGTTTGTAAATTTAAATCAAGCTCTTTATTTATTTATTATTATCATTATTTTTTGAGATGGAGTCTCACTCTGTTGCCCAGGCTGGAGTGCAGTGGTGCGATCTCGGCTCACTGCAACCTCCACCTCCCAGGTTCAAGCGATTCTGCTGCCTCAGCCTCCTGAGTAGCTGGGACCACAGGCACCGACACCACACCCAGCTAATTTTTGTATTTTCAGTAGACACGGGGTTTCACCATGTTTCCCAGACTGGTCTCAAACTCTTCACTTCAGGTGATCCGCTCACCTTGGCCTCCCAAAGTGCTGGGATCGTAGGCACGAGCCACCGTGCCTGGCCCAAGCTTTTTATTTTGAGATACTCAGATTCACATGGTGTTGCAAGAGGGCCCTGCCACATCCCAACAGCAGGCAGACCACCTCCAGGGACCTTCTGAGGCACAGGCTCCCTCCTGGCCCCTCTTCCACCCTGGCAGGTTCTGGGGCAGCTGCTCTAAACCCGGCATAGCCAGAGCCGGGGGGCAGCGGGGGGGCGCCTCTGGGGTCACCAGTTGTTTCCTGTCTTCTGGGAGCTGGGACGATGGAGAACTCAAGGCTGGTGAAGAGGCCACCTGACGCCTGCAGTCGGCCAGGGCCAGCAGGGTTTCTGACAAAACAGTCTTTTACTCGCAAAAAAACAAGACTGTGGTGTTGGGAGACACCCTCAGGAGAATGTGCGTCTGAGCATGGCCGAGCCTGACTCCCAGGGAGGACTCGGAGAAAGTTCCACAATTGTCCTCTGTCCCCTCTCCAGCCTCCATGGCTCAGCGCGGGGTGCCAGGCTCAGACTCTGCAGGCGGCTCCCCTCTGGCCCCGGGCAGCACCGAGGCTCCTGACCAAGGACCACGGAGTGTGGGGCCGCCCGCCACTGGGGCGCCTGGCTACAGGTCCAGCATGGAGAGAGCTCTTGAGACTAGAAAGTCCCCAAGGAAACACTACCCTCGCTAAGGGGCACTGGCTCCCAGACCCTGCCCTGAGGGCCGGGCGTCCTGGGCCGTGTGTCCAGGGAGGGTCAGGCCTTGCGGCCTCTAGGAAACAATGCCTGGCCAGTCTCAGAGGACGGGGTCAGCCAGGGAAGCGCAGTGCTGCAGAGGGAGGGGCCGCTGCATGGCCCTGGAGGTGAAGGGCCTGGGGCTGTGTGAACCAGTGAGGAGGGCTGGGGGGTCTTCGGCCTGGTGTGGACTCCTCACCTTGGCTCAGGGGTACCCTGGGGAAGCTGGGGTCCAGCTCCCTGACTGCCAAGAAGCTGAGCCTTGGTGTGAATCACACAAGCCACTGTGCCTCTGTGTATGCTCACCGCTGGTCATGACGGTCACACTCCCTTTGACGTTTCAAACTCACTAAAGGCAGGTGCACAGCTAGTGTGCAATTTTCCATCACTCAAGAGGGACACGGCCTCCTGGAGGTGGGGAAGGCTCTGGAAGCCACGTCCCAGCCCCACACGAGCTTGTGGAATCCCTGGCCCTTGCACCAGCGGCCCAAAAGCCAAGGAACGGCAGGGCAGTGGGGAAGGCAGCGTGGGGAGGAGGAGGTCGGCTCCTGCGGCTGGCTCAGGCTGGTGGACCCTTAGTCCCATCGCCCCAGGCCCTACAGAGCTCTGCCAGGTCTCTGCAGGTCGGATCTCAACCCTGTGTACACGGGAGGATGGGGGCACCTCAAGGCCCATTCTCCTGCCAGGCCCACCAGCCCCTGGCTGAAGGAACGGATGAGCCACGTGAGGGCCTCTGACCTGAGATGACTCCTCACTCTCTGGCCCTCATGTGATCTGTGTTCTCACCTGTCTCCCAGCCACGGATGCTGCCTTTCCACCTGGGCGTGGCTGCCAGGCCTTCACCCTTGGCCAGCCCAGAAAGGCAAGATAGCCCCAGGCTGGGAGACCCTGGTATGACAGCAGGGCACCCTGGAGGCCACAGGCCCAGACCCAACACAGCGGCCTCCCTATGCTGAGACCCACAGGCCAGGCCCCAGCACAGAGGCCTCCCCACACTCAGACCCACAGGCCAGGCCCCAGCACAGAGGCCTTCCCACACTCAGACCCACAGGCCCCAGCACAGAGGCCTCCCCAGGCTCAGACCCACAGGCCAGGCTCCAGCACAGGGGCCTCCCCACGCTCAGACCCACAGGCCCCAGCACAGCAGCCTCCCCACGCTCAGACCCACAGGCCCCAGCACAGCGGCCTCCCCACGCTCAGACCCACAGGCCCCAGCACAGAGGCCTCCCCACCAGCACACAGGCCTCCCCACGCTCAGACCCACAGGCCAGGCCTCAGCACAGCGGCCTCCCCACGCTGAGACCCACAGGGAGGCTGTCTCTTATACACATCTAGATGTGTATAAGAGACAGGACCCACAGGCCTCAGCACAGCGGCCTCTCCACACTCAGACCCACAGGCCCCACCACAGCGGCCTCCCCACGCTCAGACCCACAGGCCAGGCCTCAGCACAGCGGCCTCCCCACGCTCAGACCCACAAGCTCCAGCACAGAGGCCTCCCCACGCTCAGACCCACAGGCCCCAGTACAGCGGCCTCCCCACACTCCAGGCCCCAGCACAGAGGCCTCCCCACGCTCAGACCCACAGGCCCCAGCACAGAGGCCTCCCCACGCTCAGACCCACACCAGCGGCCTCTCCACACTCAGACCCACAGGCCCCAGTACAGCGGCCTCCCCACACTCAGACCCACAGGCCCCAGTACAGAGGCCTCTCCACACTCAGACCCACAGGCCTCAGCACAGCAGCCTCCCCACGCTGACCCAGGCCTCAACGTGCCCTGTGTGCCTGGAGAGAGGGGGGGTCTGTCCCCAACTGCCCAGCACCTCCCACAGCTTGCAAAGCAGCAGGCCCACTACATAGCTAGCCCAGTGCTAGAGCCCGCAGGTGCCTGGGGAAGGTGGCACCGGTGCATCTTATGGACAACCAAGAACACGAAACAGCCCCAGCTACTCAGGAGGCTGAGGCTCGAGGATTGCTGGAGCCCAGGACTTCAGGTCCAGTCTGGGAAACACAGCAAGACCCACTCTCAAAGCAAACCAAAAGAGGAAAATCACCAAACACCTCGATCACAACTACAAGAAGCAGGGATGCGAGTCCCTGCTGACCCTCAGGGCAGAGCCCTGCGTCTTGAGGGCAGCCTCACAGCCTTGCCCAGCGGGGAGATGAGGGACAGGGTTGAGAAGGTGACAGTGAGCCTCAGGACTTCCCACCAGGGCTGCTGAAGCACCCAGCGGAGGGAGGAGGCCGCCTGCGTCTGGAGTGCATGCTGCGTCAGAGCTCCATGGCCCCATCAGTCCTCAAGGGTGGGGCACCCACAGGCAACACAAGAAACGCAGGCAGATTTACACAGAAGAAAATTTCTGGAGACAAAAAGAACTTTAAAAAACTAATGAGAGGGGCGTGGTGGCTCACGCCTGTAATCCCAGCACTTTGGGAGGCCGAGACGGGCGGATCACGAGGTCAGGAAATCCAGACCATCCTGGCTAACACGGTGAAACCCCGTCTCTACTTAAAAAAAAAAAAATACAAAACACTAGCCAGGCGAGGTGGCGGGCGCCTGTAGTCCCAGCTACTCGGGAGGCTGAGGCAGGAGAATGGTGTAAACCCAGAAGGCGGAGCTTGCAGTGAGCTGAGATCCGGCCACTGCACTCCAGCCTGGGCGACAGAGCAAGATTCCATCTCAAAAAAAAAAAAAAAAAGTAACAAGGCCAGACGCAGTGGCTCACACATGTAATCCCAGCACTTTGGGAGGCCAAGGCAGGTAGATCACTTGAGGTCACGAGTTTGAGACCAACCTGGGCAACATGGCGAAACCCTGCCTCTACTAAAAATACAAAAAAATTAGCGGGGTGTGGTGGTGCGTGCCTGTAGTTCCAGCTACCCGGGAGGCGGAGGTGGGGGAATCATCTGAGTCTGGGAGGTTGAGGCTGCAGTGAGCTATGATCGCACCACTGCACTCCAGCCTGGGCAACAGAGCTAGACCTTGTCCAAAAAACAACTGCCAAGGTCAGACTCGGTAGCTCATGTTTGTAATCCCAGCACCTTGGGAGGCCTGAGGTCAAGAGTTCAAGACCATCCCGGCCAACACGGTGAACCCCTGTCTCTACTAAAAATAAAAAAATTAGCCGGGTGTGATGGCAGTGCCTGTAATCCCAGCTACTCAGGTGGCTGAGGCAGGAGAATCGCTTGAACCTAGGAGGTGGAAGTTGCAGTGAGCTGAGATCACCCCACTGCATTCCAGCCTGGGCAACAGAGCGAGACTCCATCTGAAAAAAAAGAAAAAGAAAAACTACTGCCACAAGGAAACCAGGTCTCACTGTGCAGGGACAACTGACCACCACGTCCTGCCTGAGGGTCTGGGCTTCCCCAGAACCACGACACCACCAGCAGTGGGTGGGGGAAGGCTCCGGGACACCAGCCCACACACACCACCCATGTGGACAGAGCCCAGGCCTGCACCTGCTGCCCCCAGTCACACAGGAGTTACTGACACGGCGGCCGTGTCCCAGCCTCCTCTTGCCCAGTGTGTCAGCCGGCAGGGCAGGACGGGACGCAGCACGCCATGCCCAGGGCGGCCCACCCTACCTTCTTTTAACAAGTCGGTGATGTCTGCCTGGTACCGGTTTCCTACTCGAATCTCTCCTTTATCTGCCAGCAGGGTCTTCTGCTGTGGGTCGTAGACTAGAGAATAGAAGAAGAAATCCTGGAAAACACCACAGGAGACAGAGAGGCGTTAGCACGGCCGGGCTGCCGGGAGGGTCAGAGAGGTGTCAGCACGGCCAGACTGCTGGGAGGGTCTTGCCCAGAGCTCCTGCAGGGTGACACAGGTGCCGGAGGGAGGGCACAGGAGCCCCCACAGCTCCCGGCCATGCCCGGGAGGAGCCTACAGCGGGGCCTCGAGGGTCACCGGGGGATGCACCTGCCCCATGACCCTGCCCGGAGGAGACATGCTGAGGGTCAGCAGGGGCGGGGCCTCTGAGCAGCTACAGGGGCGGGGCCAGGCTCCACAAGCCCTTACCAAGGCAGGGTGGATACGACTGCAGCCCAAAAACCATGACTTATTTGCCTTTTTTTTCTTTTTTTGAGGCGGAGTTTCGCTCTTGTTGCCCAGGCTAGAGTGCGATGGCGCCATCTCGGCTCACTGCAACTTCCGCGTCCTGGGTTCCAGCAATTCTCCTGCCTCAGCCTTCCAAGTAGCTGGGATTACAGGCGCCCGCCACCACACTCAGTTAATGTTTTGTATTTTCAGTAGAAACACGGTTTCACCATGTTGGTCAGGCTGGTCTCAAACTCCTGAGCTCAGGTGATCCACCTGCCTCGGCCTCCCAAAGTGCTGGGATTACAGGCGTGAGCCACCGTGCCGGGCTCCCTCTCACCTATTCTGAAAGCTACTCTGCGTTTTTTCTTTCAAGAGCTACCTTTAAAGTCCAGCATGACACCTGTTCCATGTGTGACCATGAGCCATGCTGCAGCAGGGCCTTCATCCTCTTGAACTGACATGACTATCCAGAGGCCAGCTGCCAGGCTCAGCCTCAGCTCCTACTCTGCCTGGATCATTTTTTTTTTTTTTTTTGGAGACAAGGTCTTGTTCTGTCACCCAAGCTGGAGTACAGTGGTGCGATCTTGACTCACTGCAGCCGCCACCTCTTGACTCAAGCAATCCTCCCACCTCAGCCTCCTGAGTAGCTGGGACAACAGTAAGTGCGCACCACCACGCCTGGCTAATTTTTTTTACTTTCGTAGAGCTGAGGTCTCACTATGATGCCCAGGCTGCTCTGGAACTCCTGAGCTCAAGTGATTCCCCTGGCCTTGCGCTCCCAAAGTGCTGGGATTATAGGCATGAGCCACTGCGCCCGGCCTATTTCTTTAAATTAATAAACACACATGGTTTCTATTTGGTGCCGGACTGCTCCACCGGCCAGGGCCTGGGTGTGTCTGTGACCGCTGTGTGATGTTTCTGCACTCCTGCTTATCTGTGACGTGAGTCCGTGTTCATCAGGACTTCATCAGTGAGGGTTATTTGAGGCGAGGCAGGGGCACAATCCCCCAGGGCTCAGTGGCGCAAGCTTCTGCCGGGTGCTAAGTGTACTCACCCTGAGCCTGTTACATTAAATTCCCACGTTGGGGCTGTTCAGAAACCCCAGGTAAGAAAAAAGAGGTAAGTGGCCGGGCGCAGAGGCTCACGCCTGTAATCCCAGCACTGTGGGAGGGATTACACCTGAGGCGGGATGATCACCTGAGGTCAGTTCGAGACCAGCCTGGTTAACGTGGTGAAACCCTGTTTCTACTAAAAATTAGCCAGACGTGGTGACGCACGCCTGTCATCCCAGCTACTCGTGAGGCTGAGGCAGGAGAATCGCCTGAACCCAGGAGGCTGAGGTTGCAGTGAGCCGAGATCGCACCAGTGCACTCCAGCCTGGGCAACAAGAGCGAAACTCTGTCTCAATAAAAAAGAAAGAAAGTGAAGGCGGGGAAAGGCTGCATCGTGCAGCAGGAGGGTTTCGGGGTGCCTGAGCAGCCTGCTTTGTCCCCTCGTGAGCGTCGATCCGGCCGTTTCTAGGGCTGATGCGGTGCACACAGGCTTGTCACTGCACCTGCTGCTTCCTCACAGGCCTTTCTTGCTAACACACATTTTCTGTGTCCACAGAGACATTTCTGCAGCCTCACCCTCTCTGTGTGGCTCTGTCAGTAAGGACACTCCTCCTTCCTGAGCGGGGCATTCACGGCAACCCCACAGCCTCTGCTCATGCCCAGCAGGTTGCGACTCAGCCTTCTGGGAAGCTGGTCTGGCAGCCTGAGAGGGTTCGAGCCCAGCCCATGCTCCAGGCATGTGTTACAACCCCGGACCGAGCCCTGCCTGCTCTTCTCTGCCTGCTCATGACTCTGAGCTAAGGCCTGGGGCACGACCACAGCCTGAGCTGAGCCACTTCATGCCTGTTTCCAGGCTGTGTGGTGGGAATGGGGACTGCGGCCACAGGGGTAGTATAGGACTGAGCTTGGGACACACCGTGGCCATCCTGGATCCTTCAGAGCCCACGCCAGAGCGCCGATGGCCACGGCAGAGATGAGCCCCCCTAGGACAGGGAGGGTAGGGCCTCATCCAGCAACCTGCATCTGGGCTGGCTGGACACACTGGGGGTGTTCAGGCCACAAGACTCCAGCCAGGTGGCAGCAGAGCCTGTGAGAGGCCAAGCCCCAGGCCTGGAGATGGGCCTGCCCCTTGGGCAGGTGTGCCCTGCAACTATGACAGGCACTCCAGGGAACCAACACGCTCCAGACGTTTTTGGCCCCACGTGGCCTCGGAAACCCAACCCTCCCATTAGCTGCATCTCACAGCAGCCTCAGTGCCACCGCTCTCCGTCAGGCGACACTGCTCCCCAGGTAGGTATGGCACTGTCTAGAGACATTTTTTGGTTGTCACACCTTGGGGGATGCTATATGGCAGGTAACACAGTATAATCACAGGTGACCCCCAAGGTGGGCCTACCAGGACTCTGCCCACTGCTCAGGAGGGACCAGCCAAGACTCCTACGAAGACCCAGGTGGCCCCTGCCCCCATATGCCTCAGCCACACCCTCCCCAGGGGGACCTCCCCTCGATGGTTGTCTGGGAGGCAGTGGCAAGAGGAAAAAGCCCTGTGCTCCTGGCCCACAACTCTGGACGCGTAGGGTAGGGGCAGCTGCACACCAGGACACCTGGAAGTGGCTGTCAGGACGCAATCCCCGCTTCCCTCCAGAACAGCCTGGGCCTAGAGGGAGGAGGGAAAATCGTCCCTGCTGCCCAGGCCAGCAGAGGTCACGGGTGGAGGAAACAGTGGCCTGGGACTGGCTGCAGCAGACCAGGCCAGGCTGGGCCTCACCTCCCGCTCCAGGTAGGACTTGAGCGATTCGGTCTCGTTGAGCAGGGTGACGCTGCACTTGCCCCTGGAAAAGAAGGACGGGCAGGCTGGAAGGGCGAGGACAGCCCGAGGGGCCCAGGGCGGGAGCTGCTGGGGGCTACCTGATGTGCGTGGCGGGCAGGGACTCCAGCTGCCGGGAGAGGAACAGCTCCCGATGCCGCAGCTGGTGCTTTAGTTTCTCGGGCAGGTCCACCATTTCCGGATTCTCCATTTCCTCTTCTATTTCCCCTGAAGGACAAGGAGCCCCTGTCAGCACCACGGCAGACGCACGCTGCCAGACCAAAGCCCACCCCACTGGCCCCACCCGGCGCCAGCACGCAGGAGGCCCCGTCCTGGCAGGTGCACGACCTCCTGCTGCTGGACGCTGTCCCGCTGCCCCACCCCATGGCAGCCCAGCAACTCCTTGGCAGGTACCCCTGCAGACACTCTGGTGCCCATGTGCCCTTTAAGTCCAGGCACCCTGAAGGCCCAGATGCCCCAGGGCATGAAGATGGAAGGAGGAGGGAGAACAAGGTCTGGGCCAGCCCCAGAAGCAGCAGACAAAAGAGCAAAAGGAGCAGGGGAGCCGGTGGCTGCCAAGTGCCCAGGCAAGGAGGGCGAGGGGCAGCTGCCCTCTGTCCCTCCCCATCTCGTGACCAGACAGCCCCACACAGCCCACCACAGACCTCCCACACCAGCAGGTCACCCTCAGGCCGGGGCTGCACCAAGTCTGGGCTGTGGGCCGGACACAAGGGAGGGCCCCTCCTCAGCTGGGCCGGCCGGGCGCAGGGCGCAGGCATGCAGGCGGCCCGCCCAAACTCTGTCCCTCAGCGGCGCTGCCGCCCCCAGCCCAGGGACACAGACAGGAGGACGCCCTCCTTGCGGAGGCCGGCTCTTACCTTCCTCGCCGTTGTCCGCCCCCGGTCCGGCCTTATAGCAGACTGACAGGGCTATATAACAGACAGACAGCACCCGGCAGCACGGTCAGCGCAGAGCAGCGGCCTGCTCCCTGCCCAGGGCCCGGACCGAGGGCTGTGCCACCAGGGGGCAGGGCAGAACGGGGGCCACAGGCCTCCCGGTGGGGTGTGAAGACCACCCGGTTGAAGATCATCTGGGCCTCAACGTCCCCCCACTTCGGCCGCCACCCACCCGGTGCCAAGCCTCTTTGTGAAGAGCCCAGACAAGCCTGGCTGTGGAGGGCCCCTGTCCAGCGACCATCCCTGCTCTCACTCCATTGCGGCTTCCCAGAACAGGCTGTCCAGAAGAGGCCGGGGCCGGCCGTGGGCCAGCAGCATGGGCATTCCTGCCCTGTGCTAGGAACCCAAGTAGGGTTCTTATAACACCCAAAATGGGGGTGTGCGGTGGTGCTCCCCACCGTCCCCTCGCACACCCAGCACCGGCCGCCAGTGGGCCACTCATCCCGCTCAGCGTCCTGCCGGCTCTCTGAGCCCAAGGTCCCCAGACCGGACCACAGCCAGCCGGGTTGCTCGCTCTCTGCAGCCCCCTTGTGGTGCCTGCAGGAAGTCCTGGCTCCTTTGGGCACTCCCAGATTGAGGCTGGGAGCAGCCATGCTGGGCCTGTTCTGAGCGGGCCCTATCTGGGCCTCAGAAGCCTGGGGTGTCTGCCTGCTGAGCCTCACCTCCCGTCGGTCCATAGAACAGGGCAGGGCTGACCAGGATAGCCCCAGTTCCAGCATCCCAGGCCAACACACCTCACTCACTCCCACTCCTGGGGCCCCACAAGCAAACTGCACCCTCAACTCAGAAATCCCCAGGGCCCAGAGGCCCACACACCATCCCAGACCAGAGGCTGGCGTTCGTTCACACCCGCCCTATGCCAGGCCCCGTCAGCGCACCGACCCAGCCTGCAGAGAAGCCCACAGCGACTCCGAGACTCCCATCTCACCAGTGCCCCGATCAGCAGAACAGGGCTGCGGGGTGCAGCCTGTCGGAGATGTGGGCGAAGTAGGCCTGCAGCTCCTCAGGAGGCCAACAGGCAGAAACACCCAGGCGGGAGGCGGGGCTGGCCAGTGCACCCTGCACCGCCCACACTCTGAACCCTCCCTCGGACCCTGGATACACCCCTAAGCATGAGGCCTAGGGAATGGCAGCCCCAGGCTCAGGACGAGGCCCAGGCTGTGCCCTCACACCCACCCTAGGCTGTGGTCTCCAGGGCCCCCACACCTGCTCTGGGGGGCTCTGAGGAGGGACGTTCCCCTCTCCCTGTCGTTCTGTCTGTAAAAGGCTTCACGCTCACAGCCTGCCGGGGTGAGGTCTTCTCTGCCACAGGGGCCGCGGTGCAGCCTGGCCGGTGTCTACCCTCCACCCTGAGGCCTGCACTGTGGGCTGGACGCCCCAGCAGGGACTGGGTGGAGGCAGTGACGTGGAAGAGCCAGAGGCCTCCCGGAGTGTCCTCACACCTGTCCCTGGGATCAGCTGGGGCCTCACCCGGGCTGCCATGAGCTCACAGAGCGAGCAGGAGAAACGCACAGATGTACACAACTCCGGGGATGTGGGCCCTGCAGAATCACCGCAAGGCCCAGTCACCAGGCAAGAGTGGGGCTGCGCTCCGAGCCCCTGGACCAGCGGCAGACCCGTCACCCATGATGCCTGCTCCCTGCAGCTGGGCTGTCAGTTCACAGGAACGCCCTGCAGAGGGGCCGCCATGCAGCTTTCCAGGGAGCACCGTCCAAAGGGGCTGGGCTGGGCACCTGGGGGGGCACTGCTGCTCTCTGCCCAGTCCCACCAGCCCCGACGAGGCCCTTCTGGAAAACCCGCCCTCTGATACCTCTAATCACATTATGTCTGGAGTCCCCTTCTGGGGCCCTCCTAGCAAAAGGCCATCTTCTGGGGTGTCTGAGAGCAGAACCTCAGGAAAGGGGGACACCGTACCCTAAAAAACCACTGATACAGACTCTCTGGAGCAGGGACACTGTGCTCCCAGGTGCCAGAGGACAGAGACAGGATGCGCCCTGGGCCAGCCATAAACATGCCCAACTCAACGGTGGCACCTGACTCCCTAGGCCACACAGACTGGCAGGGCCACACTGCGGCCACTTAGCCTGGGCACTGCTTCTCCAGCGCCAGCCCGCTCAGCCTGGGCACTGCTTCTCCGGCGCCAGCCCGCTCAGCCTGGGCACTGCTTCTCCGGTGCCAGCCCGCTCAGCCTGGGCACTGCTTCTCCGGTGCCAGCCCGCTCAGCCTGGGCACTGCTTCTCCAGCGCCAGCCCACTTCCCACCACTGCTTCTCCAGCGCCAGCCCGCTCAGCCTGGGCACTGCTTCTCCATCACCAGCCCACTTCCCACCACTGCTTCTCCAGCGCCAGCCCGCTCAGCCTGGGCACTGCTTCTCCAGCGCCAGCCCGCTCCCCACCACTGCTTCTCCCACTCCCTGCAGAGTTGACACAGGTCAGTCCCCGACACCAAGAACCACCAGCCGTGCTGCTGGCTGGCGTCCAGCACCTGCAGGGCCAAGGGCCGCACCAAACGCCCCTCCAGAATGTGCAGCCTGTGGACTTTCAACATCCCCAGCTCTCTTCCTTGGTGCCTGGAGCGCACACCAGTGGAGTACACAGGCTTTGAGGTCAGAGGTCAAGGGTCACCATGCCCCACCTTGAATGCTCCCCTCCTCTGAGCAGAGAGCTAGGAGGTTCCTGTTCCTCACGAAGCCAGAGGAAGCCCATGGTCAACTGGCAGCTCCCTTTGGGCCACCACAGGCCCCACAGCCCGGTGTCCAGAGTGGACCCAGGGGCCCAGCCCAGCTGCACTGCCCCAGGGCAGCTCACGTCCGCATCCACTGGGTGCCGAGGAAAGGCTGCAGCTGTCCAGTGGGCAAGGCAGTGCGGTTAAGGGACCCTTCCTTCCACGAGCACTGCCCTGGTGGACTCCCAGCAAAGGCTCAGGAACAAGACACTGGTGGCAGGATGGTCTGTCCTGCCCCTAAGCCCCTCCCAAGGCAGGGGGAGGTTGCCTGGGCTGGCTTCCTGCCCTCACCCACAGCACTGGGACAGGGGCAGAAGATGTCAGGGTCCTCCCACCTGACCCACTGCCAATCACAGTCCCTGGACCTCACCCCATTAGGGGTCATAGGAGGCTACAGGTGGGACCTTGGCCCACCCCAGCAACACAGGTACTCGGGCAGTCACATGCCTCACCTACTGGGAAATGTCACCCTACAGACCACAGCCTCAGCCTGGGCTCAAATCCCACCTCAGCTGATGTATCAGAGCGGAAGCCAATAACAGCCCTCGCGCCTGCCCCCACCGACATGAGAGGCCTCAGTGGGGGCACCACAGTGTCTGGTGCAGGTGGGCCCAGCCCGGCAGGCCCTGTGTCAGTAGCGTGTGGAGGGCGTGGGGGTGCCTCTGGCTCCTGGCTCTGAAGTCGACGTCCCCCGGTGCCAGAGACTCCATCACCTGTGAGTACCTGTTCCCAGGGGAGGAGCTGGGCCCCCAAGGCTGAGGGCATTCCCATGCAGCCAGTGGCTTCCTCCCACACACTGTGCTGGCCACAGCAGCCCCTTCCAGCCAGTTTACTGAATTTGAGTTTGAATTGTAAAGAATAAGGAGAGGACTGCTTTCCTGAAAACACTACTCAGAATGCCAACAGAAGCCTCTTCACAAAATTAAAAGGCGAGAGACAGTGGCAGGTGTGGGCAGCAGGGTCCCACCAGCCTGAAAAGTCTCCAGAAGTCATCATAAAAGAAAAAAAGAAGCCTCAACCAATGATGCCCACACCCAGCCACACCCCGTGACAAGCTCACAGAGGATGCCAGTGAGAGGCACACCGCTCCGGAGGGGCCTGTGAGGAGTTCATTCGCCCAGCCCCCGAGGAAACGGAGCCAGGACACCCCCACCCACCGTGGAAGGGAGAGAAAGAGAGGCCAGAGCAAGTTGGGCAGAGGGTGGCCCCACGAGGCCAGGACCCCGAGGATGGACCCTAGGGAAGAAGGACCCCGCCAGCCCTCCCCGGCGGACCCTCCCGCCAGGCGGCCACCCCGGGGAAGGCCGGACTCACTTGCGTGCTTGTCGGCCAGGGCGATGAGGGTGCTGGAGATGTCCCGCCTCCGGTAGAAGCACACCACCTTGGCCTCCACGTTCCCATTGGCCGTCTGTAACAGCAAGGCAGGGGCGTCTGAGAAACGCGACCAAACCCGGGCTGCACAGCTCCCAGGAGGGGCTCCAAGGCCGGCCCCTGCCGTCCCAGGACTGCGGGTGTCACCACACTACCCCTCAGGACTCCAGGAGGGCACTTCACAAATGGAGCAAATCCTGCAGCTCTGGACGCCATGGGTCTATCCCGGGGGAGAAGGTGGGCGTGCGCACCCAACTTCAACCTGTGTCTCCATCCTCCCTCCCTTCCAGAGCCCAGTGTACCACCTGAGAACACCAGGGTCCCAATGAGGAAAAGGCCCCGCCACACTGGACAGGACCTCAGTCAGCTCCCGGGAGCCCACGCCCAGCTATCCCAGTCCCTCTCGGGCGAGCTGTGCAGCAGCCACAGCCCGAGCAGCCGATGCAGCGTGGACCCCCGTGTGGGACCAGCCCTCCCATCACCCTGGCCTGGCTGACTGCTGTAAAACGCCCTCGCAGAGGAAGGTATGTTTTTGGAACGAGCTTTTATAACATCTTTGTGACCTCAAGAATTGTGCTGTGATTCTAACCACGGTACAAGTGCCTCATGGACTACCATTCATAACTTTTTTTTTTTTTGAGATGGGGTCTCACTCTGTCACCCAGGCTGGAGTGCAGTGGCGCGATCTTGGCTCACTGCAACCTCCGCCTCCTAGGTTCAAGGGATTCTCCTGCCTCAGCCTTCCGAGTAGCTGAGATTACAAGCATGAGCCACCAGGTCCAGCTAATTTTTTGTATTTTTAGTAGAGACGGGATTTTGCCATGTTGGCCAGGCTGTCTGGAACCCCTGACCTCAAGCAATCTGCCTGCCTTAGCCCCACAAAGTGCTGGGATTACAGGTGTGCCACAGCGCCCAGTCTCACATAACTTTTCAATTTTTTGAGATAGGGTCTCACTCTGTTGCCCAGACTAGAGTGCAGCGGTGTGATGTCAGGTCACTGCAGCCTCCACCTCCTGGGACTACAATCCAATTACACCATGCCAGGCTTTTTTTTTTTTTTTTTTTTGAGACGGAGTCTCGCTCTGTCGCTCAGGCTGGAGTGCAGTGGTACAATCTCGGCTCACTGCAAGCTCCACCTCCCGGGTTCACACCATTCTCCTGCCTCAGCCTCCTGAAGTACCAGGGACTACAGGCGCCCGCCACTGCACCTGGCTAATTTTTGTATTTTAAATAGAGACGGGGTTTTACCATGTTGGCCAGGATGGTCTCGATCTCCTGACCTCATGATCCACCCACCTCGGCCTCCCAGTGTGCTGGGATTACAGCATCTGGTTAATTTTTTAAAAACATTTTGTAGAGACGAGGTTTCACCATGTTGCCCAGGCTGGTCTCGATCTCCTGGGAGTGAACCACCGCACCCAGCCCATTTATAGCATTAAACCAAATTAACTCTAAGAGAAGTGGCCAGGCACTTTTCTCGCCACTGCACTCCAGTCTGGACAACAGAGTGAGACTCCGTCTCAAAAAAAATAAAAATAAAAAAATAACCAGATGCAGTGGTGCGCGCCTGTAGTCCCAGCTACTTGGGAAGCTGAGGTGAGAGGGTCACTTGAGCCCGGGAGGTCAAGGCTGCAGTGAGTTGAGATTGTGCCACTGCACTCTAGCCTGAGCAAGACCTTGTTTCAAAAAAACAACAACAAAAAGAAAGAATAAAGAGAAAAGTGCTCAGCTGCTCTGCACGGCCTGCCCGGAAGCAGGGCGTTCTCGACAGTGGAATTCCTCTGCTTGGGACGTGCATCTCCTCTCCCCTTCGGATCTGCATCTGCTCACTACAGCGGTGTGAACCCAGGACCGCCATGCTCTGCTTCAAGTCACAATCCAGCGTGGCCTGACCCCTCCTGCAGGTCACGCTGTCCCTACTCTGGCCGCTGGGTTCTCGCTCTATTGGCTCCTGTGTCCCTGACATACTCCACCACAGGTTACATCCACATTTCATCACAGTGACACACACAGACCATCCAATGTCACATAGCAAGCCATGAAGACTGCAAGGACACACAACCGCAGCCGCCCCATCTGGGCAGCCGGGACCGTGGGGCCAGGCTCTTCCGCAGTCAGGTTCCCACCAGCTCGGAGCCTCAGGCCAGGCCTCCCTTCCCACACATGCACCCCATTCTCCAGGATCACTGTGTGGACTCAGTCACGCTCGGGGTCTGGTCTGTTGCGCTGTGTTCCTGCATACGGTGGATTCAGTCACGCTCGGGGTCTGATTCAGTCACGCTCGGGGTCTGATTCAGTCACGCTCGGGGTCTGATTCAGTCACGCTCGGGGTCTCTGTTCCGTCGTGTTCCTGCACACGGTGGATTCAGTCACGCTCGGGGTCTGATTCAGTCACGCTCGGGGTCTGATTCAGTCACACTCGGGGTCTGTTCCGTCGTGTTCCTGCACACGGTGGATTCAGTCACGCTCGGGGTCTGATTCAGTCACACTCGGGGTCTGATTCAGTCACACTCGGGGTCTGTTCTGAGGCACTCCTGCACACACAGGTAAAGGTGGTGAGGCCGCACTAGGCCATTCTTTCTTTTGTCCCTTTGAACAGCTTTGCTTCCCGAGGTTAACAATCGTCTCGTTTTCTCCACTTGCCTAGTTTTTCATGGAATCATCACTGATTCTTCCCTAAAGTGCTCGGCAGCAGAGCTCCTGAAGGGAAAGGGCTCAATCAGGGCGCCCGGGAGACCCCTCCCAGAGCTGGCGTCCACCCTGCTTGCTACCCGCACCGGGGACTGCGTCCTCCTGGGCGGGAGGAAGGTGCGCCTTCCTCGTGGTGGAAAGGCGTGGAGGGGTGCACTCCGAGGCCTCAGTCGGGAAACCTCACTCATCTGCCTTCGGGAGATGGGGCTTGGCTGGGCCTGGAGCCTCCACACCCGAACGTGGTTGCCGAAAGGCAAAGTGGGGTTTGACTCCAGGCCTTTGTATGTGACCCGCTTTTCCTCTAAACGCATTTCTTCTCCCATGTTCTAACAGTTTAAATACACCTTGAAGGGGCACCTCTTTATCTCTGTGTTCACTCCTTCTTCTCTGCTATTAACTGGACATTGGACCAATGGACTGATTGTCTGATTTTTTTTCTCTCCTAGTTTCTTTGTTTCTGCCCCATCTTCTGGGTGGTAACCTCAACTTTATCACCTGGTCCTTTCATTCCACTTGTTACTTCTCCTAACCCAAGTGTCAAGAGCTTCCCTCTCATCTGACCACATCCCAGGACGGATCCCTTCCCTTTCTCTGAGAACATTCACGGGCTTTGTTTCGCTTTAGTTTCCTTCTGTTCTCTGCACTGGCCCTTCCTCTGAGTTCCATTTTTTTCTTTTTTTTTTTTTTTTTTGAGACGGAGTCTGGCTCGGTCGCCCAGGCTTGGAGTGCAGTGGCCGGATCTCAGCTCACTGCAAGCGCCGCCTCCCGGGTTTACGCCATTCTCCTGCCTCAGCCTCCCGAGTAGCTGGGACTACAGGCGCCGCCACCGAGCCCGGCTAGTTTTTTGTATTTTTAGTAGATGGAGTTTTACCGAGTTAGCCAGGCTGGTCTCGATCTCCTGACCCCGCGGTCCGCCCGCCTCGGCCTCCCAGTGCTGTGGTTACCGGCTGAGCCCTGGCGCCCAGCCTCCCCGTGCTGGGATTACCGGCTGAGGCCCAGTGTCCGGCCCTGAGTTCCTGACCCCGCGGTCCGCCCGCCTCGGCCTCCCAGTGCTGGGGTTACCGGCTGAGCCCTGCGCCCGGCCCTGAGTTCCATTTTCACGTTGCCGACTGATCTTCATGTCAAAAGCCCTCCCCAACCATCTTGTGACTTTTGGTCACCAGGAGCCTCCCAGGTGCTGGACAGCTCACTGCATGTGCTGCACCCACGGGCGCTGGGGTAGCAGGCGTCCTGCTGGGTCCCCGATGCCAGCAGCTGGGTCTGTGGGCTTTAGAAGTCTGGCCGCTGGGGTCCTGGGAGCCAAGGAGGCAAGAGGGGCACGGGGGCCCACCAGGGGACAGCCCATGAGCCAGGTGACCCCCACTTGCAGCCCCCGCATGAACCGTGCTGGCCTGGGCCTAGTGCCCTAAATCTGGGTCCTCTGAGTCCACTGCTCCAGCCCAGGGAAGGGTTCTGCAGGTTCACCTGACCCCCAGACGGGTCGTCCACCTGTCTTCCGCACTGCCAGCCGCACATCAGCATGGTTCCTGTTCTCCCGACCCTGACCCAGGCCAGGGCCGGGGCCTCTCAGGTTGCCCAATCCGGCTGGCTGCCTTCTGAGCTGCGCCCACACCTCCCAGTGGCGCCTCCTCTCCCACCTTCCTTGCCCTGTGGGTGCAGAGCTCCAGCACCCCTTTCTTGTTATTTGAGGGGGCGTTCAGGCCAGAGAACAGAGGGGAGGTCTGCACTCAACCAGCTGCGCCCACCTGGAAGCCCCGCCTGGAGCTCCTTGCTGTGGAGGGCACTGGCCACGCTGTGTCGCAGGCCCACGGGTTCCTTTCCACATGGTGAGCGTCTGGGTTGGTTGCCCTGCCTGAACTGTCTGAGACAGTAGTCATGCCCCTCACAGGCTGGTGTCCTACCCAGAGACAGACAAGTGTCCAGGCCATGTGGCCCTGGCCCTGAGGAGGAGGGAGTGCTAGGACGAAGGGGACAGCTCTGAGCGTGCGCAATGCTACATCTGTACCTGAACATCGCCAAGGGGCTGGAAGCCAGCCCCCACCTGCACATGCCTGCAGTCTACTGTCTGCACGTGGAAGCCAGAAGCGGCACGAGGGAACCTTCCCGACAGTGGCACCTCTCAGCAGTGGCACCTCCTAGCAGTGGCACTCGGCCAGGCGCCCATGGAGGCACTGCAGCCTCCCGCCCCAGGCTGCCTGCCAGCTGGCTGTGTGGAGCCACCAGCGCCGTCTGCCAGCCGCCCCTCCACTACACGGACCAGGAGGGACCCAGGGCCTCCCCAAGCCATGGTTCAACTCAGCTGAGGAACCTCCCTCCGCACCTCAGTTTCCCTACAGTCCGCATGCTGTGATGTGTAAGGTGCAGCCCCGCAATCGGGAGGCCCAGCCACAGCAGCAGCACCCGTTCCAGCCCCATACTCGGGAGGCTCAGTTCACAGGAGCAGCGCCCGTTCCAGCCCCACACTCGGGAGGCTCAGTTCACAGGAGCAGCACCCGTTCCAGCCGTACCCAGAGTCCAAGTGGCCTTGCTCTGCAGGCAGGCAGGCCCTGCCCAGCAGGGGCAGTGAGATGGACTCAGAGGACACCTGGATCATTGCCCGTGCCTCCAACAAACAGGCCTGCCCCTCAGACCTCCCAGGAAGCCGCAAGGGAGCAAACGTCACACCCCACGCTCCTCGGCCCCAGGTGGTGGCAGATGCCACAGGGAATGGCCCTTGACAAGCACAGCCAGGGAAGCCCAGAGCCCAGCATGGCTACGTCAGAGGTGGCGTGCTAACCTTCCCCACCCTGTCCCCTCTGATTCCAAGAATCCCACATCACCGCTGCCACCAAGCCTGATGTCCAGGAAGGCAGCTTCTCACAGGTAAGCCTGCAGCATGCAGCACGGAACACCAAGGGCCCGGGTGCCCCAGGCCTGTGGAGTGGGCGGGGCTCCTACAAGGCAGCCATCAGGCCACTGGCTCCAGGGGTTCGGGGGCTCGGGAGCCCTGCAGGCAGGCACAGAGAGGTCTATGAAGCACCGAGCAGCTCACCCCACTCTCTGCTGGAACCATGTGTCCACTGGTGGGGACGACCTGCCCTCCCTCAACACCCTTAGAAAGTCTCCAACCAGGAGGAGAAGGGAGGCTGGGGTACCCACCCACCATCCCTGAGGACAGCGAGAAGGCTCCCAGGGTGTGCGGGTGCCCTGCACCTCCACAGCCATCTGCAGCTCTGTCTCCCAAGCTGACGGGACGGAGGCTGTGCCAAGGCGGTGGAGGCCGGGAGTGGCTGGGGCTGAGGGGCCCATGTGTCACCACCCCCCAGGAAGGATCTGGTGCCGCCAGGCTCAATGCATGGGCACAACCACGTCCCCGATCAAACAAGCATCTGCCAAGGACTCACGGCAGACACGAACCAGGTGGGAGCAAGGGCTGCCTGAGTGACCAGGGAGGGTGCCTTCAGCCACGCAGACACCTCAGGGGTCAGGGCAGAGCTCACAGCCCTGCAGGGCTGGCTGCTGGGAGCTGGGCAGGGCAGGGGCACCGAGTGTGGCTTCCTGCAGCCTTTGGTTGGTTTCAGAATCATGCCATTCTGCTCAGGCTCCCCAGGGGACGCTGGCATCTTCAGGGGACCCAGCGCCCACAGACCAAGTGTGGAGTGGGCAGGCAGCTCAGGGCAGCCGCGCTGGGTCCTGCACGAGGCCAGCAGGCCCCTCACTCAGTTTCTCCAAGGGGGGGCCAGGGTGCAGGTGACAGTGGACGGAGTCACTGAAGGGCCTGCACAGTGGCCAGTCCAAGGTCAGCCCCAAAAGGGGGCCACCCACACTGGCCACCCACAGGGCAGGAGCTGGTGTAGCCCCCACCCACTACCCCCTGCAGCCACGCCAGGGCCACCCAGTACCTTGTTGAGCTCCTCAATCCTCCGGATCAGGTATGGGTTGCTGGAGGAGTTCTCGAAGTAGACGTAGTCTGCAAACAGCAACAGACAGAGCAGAGGGTCACCTGTGGTACCAAAGGCCAGACCCAGGTCCACGTCCCGCTGCCCAGAGACCCGGGGCTCAGGTGGGGCAGTGTCACCACCGCCACCTCTGCTCTCTCAGGCGAGGAACAAACAGAGGAAGCGAAGCCCCCACACCATCAGGGAGGGGTGGCTGCAACCAGAATGGACTGACAGGCTGGGTCAGGGCCAGGGAGATGCACCAGGAGGGGCCATTCCCAGCAGGAGCCAGCAGCCCCCATCCTGGATCCTCACAGACGCCAGCCGCCCCCAAAGGCTCAGGCCCTTCTTGGGGAAGCTGTAGGGGCCAGGTGGCAGCTTCCCAGGCGAAGCCCAGCTCCAGCACTGCCCAGACCCTGCCGGGAGCCCCGGGACACCTTCCCACTGGCAGCAGCCAGCCTGGATGCTACACCCTCAGAGCCACATGGCCACCACCACCCTGCCCACAGCGGTCCCCATCTTTCCCTCCAAAACACAGCAGCGACTACACAGAGAACACAGCTGGGGCTTCCTGGGCCCAGGCAGGCTCAGAAATGGGGCAGAGTTGCTCCAGGAATGACAGGGTCACCCTCACTAGAGCTCAGAGACAGCAACAGGCAGCAGGCACTGGGAGTGCCCCGAGACCGGCCATCAGGTGAGTACAACACTTCCCTCAGCAACGACACCATGGGGCCCTCCAGCCTTCTCACCAGCTCCACACGCAGAGAGCCACTGAATCTTCCGGAGCCCAGAGGCTTACTCTGGAAGGCCCAGGGAAGTCCAGGCTGGTGGTGCTGACACCCCGATGCTCCAGGCCTCCTGGGGCCGCTGCAGGGGCTCAGCCTGGGAGGCAGCGAGGCCACATCCTCATGAACCAGCACCACGAGTACCCTCGCCAGCCCACCCTGCACCAGCTCTGCAGGGAGGACTGAGCAGGAGGCCTGTCTCAGCTGGAATCACCCCAGAGGCCCACACAGGCCTGGGATTCAGCAACATGCAGCAAGACCAGCACCAAAAAAGCCCAGCCTATCTGTCCACATGGAGGCCAAACCTGTGCTTCGAGGACCCTGTGGAGGGGCCTGGAGAGTATCTCCCTCCTGCTGCTGGCACACACCTGCAGGCTCATGCCCGTGAGGACACACCCGTGAGGACGCACCTGCAGGCACACACCTGTCAGGACACACTCATGGGTGCACACCCGTGACACACCCATCAGGACACACCTGCAGGCACACACCCGTGAGGACACGCCTGTGGGTGCCCACCTGCGAGGATGCACCTGTGTGGGCACCCATGTGCAAAGTCACGCCTGTGCGTGTGGCTTCTGAGCCCCGCGTGCTGCCTGAGTAAACCAGCTCATCAGATGAGGCCACGCCCACACAGAGCTCCACCGGACAATGGGCTAGGAGCATGGAGAGTCCAGAGGGACACAGCCTTGGTGCCCGGGGACACGCACAGCAGTGAGCGTTCCCTGCAGAAAAGCCTGCAGAAGTGGCAGGAGGCCTGCAAATCTGTGTCAGGGTTAGAGTGTTCTGAATGCAGGATGTGGCCATGCTTGGGCAATGCTGTGAAAACTCTAGAATTAACTGAATCACATACTCAGAATTGGTGGATTTCTTTCTCTTTTTTTTTTTTTTTTATTTTGAGACAGAGTCTTGCTCTGTCGCCCAGGCTGGAGTGCAATGGCTCGATCTCGGCTCACTGCAAGCTCCGCCTCCCAGGTTCACGCCATTCTCCTGCCTCAGCCTCCCGAGTAGCTGGGACTACAGGTGCCAGCCACCACGCCCGGCTAATTTTTTATATTTTTAGTAGAGACGCGGTTTCACCGTGTTAGCCAGGATGGTCTTGATCTCCTGACCTCATGATCTGCCCGCCTCGGCCTCCCAAAGTGCTGGGATTATAGGCGTGAGCCACCGTGCCCGGCTAAAATTGGCAGATTTCATCACATGTAGATACCTCAAATTTTTTTTCAAAAAAGGTCTCAAATCAATGGTCTAACTTTTCACTCCAAGAAACCAGATAAATAAATTAAATCCAAAACAATGCACCAAACTTGCCAAAAACTGGGGGGAAAATGTCCCTTAAGTGAGGAAAGACAGACAAGGTGGGGTCCGTCCACTTGATGGAAGACTCCTTGGCCGGGGCCAGGAGTGAAGCCCCCTGGCAGCACAGGGCCTGCAGCACCGGAAGGCCCACTCGGGGGAGGTGGCGGGCACGACGGCTGCGTGCAGCGGGGCCACCTACAAGCTGCTGGCGCAGGAAAACCAAGGCGTGGAAGATGAAACAACATGCAGGGAATTCGGGAACTGTTCTGTATCATGACTATGGTACAACGACATGACTATGGACTTCCAAAATTCACAGAACTGTACACGTGAAAGGAATTGTACTGAATGTAAATTATGCTTTAATAAATGGACAAATAAAGCAAGAAGGCAGGAAATGACAGAGTAAAAATAATGTGAAACAAAAATAGTAGAGGGGAAAATATCAAAGGAACTGGTGTTTATTTGAGACGGAGTTTCGCTCCTGTTGCCCAGGCTGGAATGCAATGGCGTGATCTCAGCTCACTGCAAACTCTGCACCTCCTGGGTTCAAGTGATTCTTCTGCCTCAACCTCCCAAGTAGCTAGGATTACAGGAGCCCACCACCACGTCCAGTTAATTTTTGTATTTTTAGTAGAGGCCAGGTTTCACCATGTTGGCCAGGCTGGTCTCAAACTCCCGACCTCAGGTGATCCACCTGCCTCAGTCTCCCAAAGTGCTGGGATTGTAGGCATGAGCCACCACACCCAGCCTACAAGCTGGTTATTAACAAGATCAATAACTGAAATCTATAGCCAGACTGACAAAGAAACAAAGAGAGAAGCCACAAGTAACCAACATCAGGAACGACAGATGGGACATCACTGCAGATCCTACTGACACAAGAAGGGGTATAAGGAATATTATGGAGGACTTTATGCCAGAGAATTTGACAACTTAAATGGAATGAACCAATTGCTTGAAAGACATAAACACCAAAGCTCATTCAAGAAGAAACAGGTAACCCTATTCACACTACAGAAATACAACAACAAAAACCCTAGGCCCAGATGGCTTCATTGGTGAAGTCTATCAAACATTTAAGGAAAAACTAACACCAATTCTACGCAACTCTTCCAGAAAACAGAAAAGGACAGTGTGGACACCATTCCCCGATACCAAAACCAAAGACACACAAGGAATCAGGAGGATCACTTGAGTCCAGGAGTTTCAGACCCCATCTCTAAAAACAAATGATTTTTGATTAGGCAGGTGTGGTAGCATGTGCCTGTAGTCCCAGCTGCTTGGGGGCTAAAGCGGAAGGATCGCTTAAGCCCAGGAGTTTGGGGCTGCAGTGAGCCATGATGGTACCACTCACTCAAGCCTGGGTGACAGAGTGAGACCCCATCTGTAAATGTAACTTAAATTTTAAAAAAAATTGAACAATCAGTGTAGCTCATCATATTCACAGATTAAGTAAGAAAAACCCTATCACTATCTCCGTAGATGCAAGAGTATAATCTGAAAAAACTCAACACATACTCTATTAAACTCTGAGCAAACAAGGAACTAAAGGGCACTTCCTCAGCCTGGTAAGACATTTACAAAAAACCTACTGCTAGCATCATCCTCAGCGGTGAGAAAAGGGCTGCTTCTGCTGGGATCAGGGATTGTGGCAGGGGTACACCTACTCTCACCGCCACCGCCTCCCACGGCCACCGCCACCGCCTCCCACCGCCACCGCCTCCCACCGCCACTGCGGACCATCAAGGAAGTCCCAGCCAGGACAATGAGAAGAATCAATGAAAGGCACACAGACTGGCTATGAAGACACAAAACTTTCTATATGCAGATGATGTGACTTGCTATACAGAAATCCCCAGTGTCTACGAAAAAGCTATGGAAACCGCTGAGGAAGAGTTTTGCAAGGTCACAGGTCAACATCAAAAGCTAAGTCCTCTTTTGGGCCAGGCGCGGTGGCTCACACCTGTAATCCCAGCACTTTGGGAGGCTGAGGCAGGCGGATGACTTGAGGTTGGGAGTTGGAGATCAGCCTGACCAACATGGAGCTACCCCATCTCCACTAAAAATACAAAAAACATTAGCTGGATGTGGTGGTGCATGCCTGTCATCCCAGCTACTCAGGAGGCTGAGGCAGGAGAATGGCTTGAACCCGGGAGGTGGAAGCTGTGGTGAGCCGAGATCACGCCATTGCACTCCAGTCTGGGCAATGGTGAAATTCTGCCTTTAAAAAAAAAAAAAAAAGTCCTCTTTCTATGTACTACTGACAAACAGAAATCAAAATTGTAAAAGTACTATTCACAAGAGCACCAAGAAAAATTAAATGCTTAAATATAAATTTTACAGAAGATCTACAGATGTTTAAAGATCAAAAGATCTGTGCAAAGATCTATATGCTGAAAAGTACAAAACACTGGTGAGAAAAATCAGCCAAAGATCTAAATAAATGGTAACAGATGAGACGTCAAGGGTTAAAATACATGTTGGTGAGCTTCCTATAAAGGTTGGGATAGTAAATACTCCACGCTATGCAGGCCAAGAGGCCACACCAAGGATATTACGTAAGGACTAATATAACAATTTCCACATATTTTATACTGATGAAATTAAAATAACCGGGCCAGGTGTGGTGGCTCACACCTGTAATCCCAGCACTTTGGGAGGCGGGCAGATCACGTCAGGAGATCGAGACCATCCTAGCCAACATGGTGAAACCCTGTCTCTACTAAAATACAAAAAATTAGCCAGGTGTAGTGGTGCACGCCTATAGTCCCAGCTACGTGGGAGGCTGAGGCGGGGGAATCACTTGAACCTGGGAGGCGGAGCTTGCGGTGAGCCGAGATCATGCCACTGCACTCCAGCCTGGTGACAGAGCGAGACTGTGTCAAAAAAAAAAGCTGAGTGCAGCTTTCTATAATACAGATGCACTCATGAGAGGACTTGTTTTG